AAATCAGTCCGTAAGACCGTATATTATTCGAACAGTCAAAAAAACTCTATTCTCAGCATAAGTTATATCTTTATCTCTTCTTTTACTTTGACATAAAGTTAAAAGTGGAATGTTTTAACTATCCAATGCGCTGAAAATGTAAAAGAGAACTAGATGTGTTTATTCTAGAAGTTTTGAAAGAACAGAGCTCTTTAACAAACAATTTATGGATGAATCACTCCTCTTGTTACACTTAAAAGTGACAACAAGAGAAACGGAGATTTTTCTTCTCTCCATGTCTCTCTTTAAACAAACGTTAAATGCACACGGAGAAAAAAATATATATTTGAATTAAATAGTTTTAAAAAAACGTAGAAAAACTGCACTCATTTTAGTAGATAATTTTCTCATTGCGAAAAGAACACTTTCTTTTATCGGACTATTTGTAAGAAAAAATCTTCTATGTGCAGGAGAGAAAAGAAAAAAATTATGAAACTAAAAACATTGAGTTTTCTCAGACTTTTTTACTTTTCTACAGTAATTTTGAGAATTACCATCAGAATTTCACGACTAGAATTCTCGTGTAAGAGACTAAAATTCTCTTGGTAATTCTCAAAAGTCCTGGGCAAAAGTAAAATTCTCGTGGAGAATGTATCCAGCATATTCTCAGCTGTTCTCATACAATTAGAATTCTCGTGTAAGAGACTGAAATCTCCGTGTACAGAGACCCGTTTTCGTGATAACCCTAACACGTCCTGAACAGGGACGAGGCATTGTCAAACCAGCTGCACCACTAAACTTTATCTTACCTTTTCAGTCAAAAAGATGACATCTAACGTATCAAAATGTACAGGATGTGGTGCAACAGTTTACAATGCCGATAAATATGAAAAATATGAGGGCAAAATAAGGCTTTTGAAAAAAAGTTCTGACTGGAATAAACTTATTGTCTCTTCTCGTAGATTTACCATAGTCGTTGTTTTAAATGTTCACATGCCGATTGTGGAATAGTATTGACATCACGAAACACAAGAGGTTTCAACAAAATGCCATATTGTCACAGGTTAATCAATTTCTCTTTTATCTGCATATACGACGCTCTTGAGTAAATGCTCCTTTTTAGGCATTATCCTAACGAAAGAAGCGTAGACGCAGTAAGTTGTTAAGACTGTAATAATTTTTGCGTGCCGATAGTAGGAAACACGAAGCAGAGGTGTAAACGTTATGAGTTCACCTGTTATTTGAGCGCCTGAGATTCTTGAATTCCAGTATTCCAAGCTTCCTGGCCCTGAAGTGCGCAAATGGGGCCATACGATCGTCCCGGATTGTGATGGGTGTAATACATGAAAACTATATATAAGAATGTTATTATATTTGAGAAAGAAACAAGTAATTTTTTATTAGTCAATATTTAGGTGACTAATAAATATAGATTAAACTAAACTAAAGAAACAAGTGCATGAAAGAATTACATAAAGCACTTTATCCCACAACAGCAATCAGCTTCGTTGCCTTCCCTCTCTTCGCTCTCACTAGCTCTTTATTCTCGAAATCTTAGCACTCCAATTTCCCAGGTCGGTCGTTAAATCTACAACTCTCATAGGCGAAAATACTGGAGAAAATTCCTCGCAGATACAGTGAGGCTTGGCCAGAGGCAATGAAACAATAATACTTCCAAGTAACTGTTAATTTTCCAAGATTTTTCCATTTTAGGCATTGGTTCGTGAGCCAGGTCCAGCTAATGACAGCAATACCAGTGCCATACAACCTCTGTCCTATAAAACAATCGAACAGAAGCAGCCAAATACCGAAAGACAATTAGTTGATATTGATTCCCAATGCATTCCACTAACATTAACTCCTCCTGCTCCTTTGATAGACGATGTTAGTGCGAATGATGCTGCTATCTTTCAAGAGAAGTTGAGATCAACACTTCGCGAAGCCGCTGATCAAATCGTGGGTCAAATATTTCAGGCTCTAACCAAAGAGTTCCATATCATTGTCTGTGGTTCACCCCGTGTCGGTAAAAGCACATTGATTAATGCCATATGTGGACAAGAAGTAGCTGAAACTAAGGATGGTCTTGCTTCATGTACTAAAGCTATTAGCTGTCACACACTGGAAGGTGAGTGTGAAATTGATTCAAAGATTATTCATTATAAATATAATTTTTGGGACACACCCGGATTTGAATCATGGGAAAAAAACGATATTCGGCCGAATATAAAAGCGATTGTTAAAAAACCTGAATCGAAGCCTCTCTGCATGATATTTTGCGCATCACCTGGCACATTTGTCAATCTTGAAGAACTGAAATGGCTTTTCGATTTGTGCATCAGAGAAAAGCATATATTCTGTGCTCTGGTTTGTACAAACAAATATGCTGGCCAAACGAAAAGTCGTCGTGCTGTATTAGACGACTTTAAAGGACTGCTATCGACATACGTTAATGATCAACTAAGGGAAGAAAAGGATATTACTTTTTACGGCAATGTTGGTTTGTGTACCTCAGTGAACAGCCAGCTCTTTGAAGATGACGATCGCAAGTTGGAAGCGTCCGGCATTCATGAGCTAATTTATGGTATAATGGAATCCCTGGTCGATGAACACGTGTTAGACTGGTGTATGCTGACCTTGGAAAATAAAGGCTTTTGGAAGGATATGCATGAAAAGGCAGCCGGAGGAGTGGATCGTGTAAAAGGCAGAGTGAAAGCAGTTATAGACCTTTTAAAGTCGGCCAAGAATGGCAAACGAAAAAAAAGGAAAAAGTAAAAGACAAAGAGTAACAATCAATAGATCAACAAGAATTTTGTTTATTCTTTTCAACTGGAACAAAACTGCTGAAACCTTTCTGTTCACGAGGAAAGCATATTTTTCATTCATTTTCTTGATCTATGGAGCTTTCCAAAGAGGAGCAACATTTTTCGAAATAGCAAAAACTGTCGAACAGTTTTTTTCCGTGATTTAATGTTTTTTTCGAATACTTGAAGTTTTGTCAGGAATATCTCTGGAATTTTTTTAACAAATGCATTTTGTAGAGCAAACATTTTTCTACAAAATGAGGCGTTTCGCAGCTATGAGCGAATCTTGATAACAGATGTATAGCAATTCTCCCGGATGTCCCAACATCAGTTTTTAACAGGTGCATACGTATTTGGTGATACCCACGGAAGATGTCGCTACTTTTCGATGGTGGTAGGCGTTCTCCGTCTGACGATGCTCAAATAAAATTATGCAAGCCAACAAGAAATATCAAGGAATGATATTGTATAGCTATCAAAATATGACGATTACAGAGGTCGTTCTATCATATTTGCTTTGTCTGTCATGATGCATTTAAATGATACTATTTACGGATAAATCTTGTTATTCGTTTGTCGTTAATGGTTCTAACCATTTGGTTTATTTTGTAAAAACTTCCAAGGACTTGCCCGATTTCTGACGGAAATGGAAGTTTGAAGTTTAAAGCCATGAAAGGTGTGATATCACACCTTTTCTATCTCATTTACCCCGAAAGTGCAACGGTGACAAGCTTTTTCCTTATACTCGTACCTACTTTATTATTAACTGTTCATCCAACCCTCTTCCACAGCAATGCTATTGAGTACCTATGATGTACCAAACATTTGATCATAATGTGTGCGGCTTGATTTGAAGATTTACTGTCAAAATGATGTTAAAAACAGATTTTCGAAGCATTCTCAGTTTCTTGCTCTTTGCCATACTTGTTAAGTAATTTAACAATGCAACCTGCGCATCAGAACAGAAGACAATTGTAACAATAAACTATCGTTTTCTAATTTAGAAAGAAATTTACATACTTCTGTTAATGCATTTTTCGATTCTTTAAACACTACGGGTAAGATGGATAAGGTGCACGAAAAGTACTTCAATAACTACGTGAAAAATCAGACATTTGAATTTACTGATATATTTTCATCTTCCAAAACGGTTTATCTTGGACTGATTAATTTTACCCAAGGTGATGCTTAAAACAGGATCGAAGCCAGGATTTTTATCAGGGGTGGACAACGGAAAAAAAATCCATCTTCACTAATTTGAATTTCCATTTTAAAGTCAAGTGAACCATATATTTTTTCTTGCATTTTATCTCCACATGGCGCTTATCGCTTTGACTGTTCTAAGTTAAAACGTTTAAAAGATAAGAAGGAGAAGGAAAAGGTAGGTTTTTTGAGAGGAGAGAGAAAGAGAAGAAGACCTAGGAATGTCTCTAAAACTTTAAGAATATAAAAAAACCAACTCTTTTCGATCACTGATGAATTTGATTCGACGTTTGTCTTTGCAAAACTCATTGACAACATCTTCAACATTCAATTCTTTTGCGTGTTATCGATGAATATGAATGAGAGGCAGATTACTTAATCGATCATCACCGGTACTGTTTCGTAAACAATTTTTAATTAATTTCATTGTTGAAAATGATCGTTCAGCTGTTGCAAGTGTTACGGACAAAAAGATAAATAATTTAAATAATTGATTTAAGTTCTGAAAGAACGCTTGGTATTGAACTAATTCATTTAACGTTTTATTAATATTTGTTGGTCTCTGTTCTGCCGTTATATTTTCCAATTGTTTTAAAATTCTATTAGGGAAACCGAAGTGTCCCATCATCGAGTGATTAACTATTTATTAGTAGTGCAAGTTAACAATTACACAAAATAGTATAACATGGTGGGATTAAAAGTATTATTGTAGAAAAAATAAATAAATATACGGAAACTAAAAACAGAAAAGCTTAATTGTGCGCAATCACATGCTAACTCAAAATGTGATTCAAATTGTCCTTCTATTCAAAGTGCGGGAAGAGAGGTAAGTAAGATGATAATATTGGCTGTCCGATGTTAGATGAAAATATGAACAATAGAAATAACATTATCCAAATCATTTTGTCTGATCAATAAAAAAGTTAACGCTGTCAGGTACCAGCGCCGATGATTAGATCTCCTTTCGGCGACTCATTAACAGATATTCACGTTAGAAATAAGTCTAAAACCAAGTTTAAAATAAAAGCCGAAAATAGCATCTGTTAATTAACTAGCTATCCAACAGGCCCAAATTTTAATATCAGATCTAAGAAGGAATAAAATCATCCGAAGAAGACAGCAGTGCCCGAGTTCCATCAATTCCGGGATTTTACTCGTACCATGAGAATTTTTCTATCATCGTGAGAATTTTGCCCTTGACTAAAACCCAAATGAAGTTCACAAATCACAACCAGAAAGACGTCTCGAAATTCCGGAATTTTGCGCCCCTTCGCAAGAATTTAACTTGCTTCCACGAGAAGATGAAAGAAAAAAGACCGGCCATCTCAAAGACAATTTTAGTCTCTTACACGACAAAGTGCGAGAACAGCTGAGAATATCCCGGATACTTCTTCACGAGGATTTTACTTTTCTACCGGAATTTTGAGAATTACCACGAGAATTTTCGTCTTTGTACACGAGAATTCGGATTGTGTGGGAGCAACTGAGAATGCTACATTCTTCACGAGAATTTTACTTTTCAAATCACTCTAAACGTCACATTTTTTTAATGGCAATCCT